ATCTGAGTTGTAGGTTTGATTTAACAACGGCTTTGTTGAAGCAACAAGAAGCGCTTGACACTCTAGCGTTCACCACTGAAAGTCTCAGATCAGTGAGGCTGAGAAGTGGCGGAGGTGTGGTATGGTTGCCACTTGTTGTTTTTAGAGTCAGCAAAGCATGTATGAGGGCATTCGCGGGGAGTTACGGCAATGGGCGTCTGCGGCTGATAAGAAATTGGCAGAGCATTTGGATAAGTGTCGAAGGTGGTTTACCCCACATGTCGGGCGTGGGTATCGAACCCGGAACCTCCGGCACAAACAGGGTTCGCCTTCCTTCCCCTAATCCGTATCCCCTTTTGAGTCGTGATTGTCGCAGCTCACGTGCTCACCACACAATCTCCGTATTCATGCATTTCAGGGAAGTGGCTGCTTCTCGTGAGGAGTGTCGTAAAGAAACGCACGAGGTCCTCGAACAGGCCTCTAAGGGGGATCGGAAGGCTCTGATTGACCTGAAAGCGATGGTCTGTAGTCCCCCCCCTATCCCACACACACATATTCGTGCTCTAGGTTGAGGATCTTCGTAGTAGGGTGGAGGAAGTATCTTCGGAGATGAGGTGAGGCTGAACTAGGTAGGAGGACCACTATCACCCTAGTAGGAAGGACACTCACACGCTTGAGAGCGTCGACTCACGCATCGTGCAGAGCACTCGCGAGGTGGAGGATAGAATGCTGTCGAAGTAAGCCATAGTTGGAGGAGCTTGAGTTCCCTATGATGAGGGTTTGGTTCATATTATCAATGGGAGTGATGACGATGAGGCATATGACCATCCAGCGATGTAAGTGAATAGAAGAGTCGCTTTAGGATGAGTGAGAGAGAGAACGAGATGAAGGTGACTATAGAGGAGTTGGAAGAGCGGTTCGAGAGGCGCCTCAATGGAGGGCAGTTGGAAGTCCGCATGAATGCAGTGGGTTACACGCTTCCCTGGCTGGGCATTCGGATGTGATGTCGTCAGTTATCGAGTGAGTTGGCGGACCTACGTGCCACCACTAAGGACTCTCTACAGTGCTTGAATGCTGAAGTAGTTGGGGAATCCCCCCCTCAAGGGGGATTCGTTGTGAGGTTAGGTTAAGTTGGGAATTGGAAGGCAGCCTTCAGAGGTGCAGACGGAGGCCTCCGAGGAGATGGAGAGCACCAATGCTGAGGTAAGCATCACATTAGTCAACATCATCATGATGCATTACAGATTGGGAATAGTGTCGTGTCTGGGACCGACGGGATGATCGAAGTGAGATTGGAAGAGTTAACGAGAGAACATCGAGTAGAGGGTATTTCTGCAAGTGGCATGGTATTGATGATGATGATTATAGTATCTACAAGAGCACACGAGGGGCCTGGCAGAGACTCTTTGTAAGGGCATAGGACGTATAGAGAGGCTTGAGAATGATAGACCACTTAGGAAGGACTCGATTGGTAGTAGAGTGGAGGAGGTAAGGATGATGGGACTGTTGTGAGGTGTTGGTTATGAGATATAGATGTTGGCCACTTTACAAGGGATGAGGTTTTATGTAGAAGAACACGATTCTCGAATAAGCACACTATCTGCTACCATTCAGGAGGTAAGCATTCTCGTGCATGCTGCCCACTACCACCAATACGATTACGTTAATCACATCAACGACAACAACAACAAAGGACTAACTTGTTGTTGTATATGTTGCTGTAGTTGTATATGTTGTTATTTTTCTGATTGGGATGCAGTTGTTAGCGATACTATGAGGCTACCAGGTGGTGCGGTGTAGAGAGCAATACGCTCGCCTAACTTTAGAGTGTTCCAAGTGCTGCCAATTTCAATATAGTCAACCTGTTCAGGCTCAGTAGTAACATGAGGCCCTTTTAGATCTATGCTATGCTCCGCGAGTTCGTCGAAAGTGGCATACCGCTCATTGAAGGTAGTTACGAGTTTGGTGGTATCCGAGGTTCGTTCTTGGAAGATTCAGAAAAAGCCCATTCGAATCCGGATTATGATGATAAGAAGCACATGGCTGGGAATAAAGTAAGGCTAGGTTGGGGGACCTCATTTTGTAGCAAGAATCTTATGTGCCTGCGTGCGGAAATTACCTCACGAATTCATGAGCGTGACGATGCTCCCATTTCTCCTGTCGCGTGAAGATACCTCCCTAGTGATGAGTGATATATAAAACAGCCCGTTGGCGTGGCGTTGTTATTCCGAGTGTTTCCTCAAGAAGACTACATAGAGGAGTTCACTTTATCCAGATACAAAGATTTGGTGACACATCTGGGCTACTAGCTCTATCTCAATCTGACTTGATCAATCGTAATGCATTAGCTCATTCGGGGGTAGTGGTGGCTCCATCAGGCTTGGAAGGTCTTTGTAAAAGAGTGGAAAAGTTGGAGGGTGAGTTCATAGGAGTACCTGGG